AACAGTACTACTTGCCTAATTCAAGTGCCTTTGAACAGCACCGATAGACCTTGCCATATCTCTAGTTATTTTCTCCTTGATACAGAAGACATGATTGAAATGTGTTACAAGATTCAGACTTCTGAAGGACTCTCGGGCGGATGTCGCAGGTGTGGTCTTGAGGGGTATGGTGGAGTTGTTCGTGAGGATACAATCCATCACTAAAGGCATGAGTTGCTGTCAGGACTTACTGGGCAAGCCGCTCAAAAGCAGTAGTGATATATATGTACGTGTACGAAACTGTCGATCCTACATCCCTAATTTCCTCTTAGCTTTGTGAATAGGATATCTGTACATAGGTGGCAATTCGAACTATTTAGTTGGGATAGTGGTGTCACCACCGATTTGTGGTCAGGACTCCGGGCTCACTAGGTGCATTGCATGCTTGTGAGTCTCGCGACACATCATAATGGTGCGTGTAAGATGAAATGCACGCAACCGTTTCGGGAAGATATTAGATCATACTCAGCTGAGTCAGTAAGCTGCCTATAATAGATGTGCTTCTTTCCAAATTGTTTCTTATTTAGAGTATGAACAATGTTCAGCAAAAAGAAAAGGGCAAGCTAGAGACTCAACTCGATGTTCAAAAGTAACCGACAGTAACGTGCTACGCTACATATAAAGTACAGTTAGTGCTGGGCGATGAAGATGAAGATCATCTTATACACAATCACAATGTGTCAAGTGTCACACCTCACAAGAAATGCCGCAAACTGAATACAGACCACAAAACATACATGACTCTATCACAGCTATCCTGAAGCTTGGTAGTGAAGACCGAACAGAAAGGCCTAAAGTGGTGACAGGCAGTGGCAGGTCTTGTCTGAGATCTTTGTAGAAGTCGAGCATTAATACTAAGGGAACAGCTAATTACCTAATCCGAACTTTCTTATGGCAACCAAAATGCAAAGCATGTAAATGCAGCGGGAAAGAAACACGTCATGACAGGTGCATTTGAACAGTGCAGAAAGACCTTGCCATATCTTTGGTTATTTTCTCCTCCATACAGAAGACATGATTGAAACGTTTTACGAGATTCAGACTTCAGAAGGACCCTCGGGCGGATGTCGCAGGTGTGGTGTTCGGCGGTACGGTGGAAATGTTAGTGAAGATATACAATCCATCACTAAAGGCATGAGATGGACGATCCAAAATAGTGAATCGTGAATCTGGGCCATTCAACCCTGAGAAGATCCTTGTTGCTGTCAAGACTTACTGGACCGACGAACCTGCTCAAATGCAGTAGCGATATCTATGTCTGCTAAACTGTCTATTCTCCATCGCCAGTTCTCTGTTAGCTTCAGGATATCTGAACATGGGAAGCATTTCGAACTATTTAGTTGGGTTAGTAATGTCAACACTGATTTGTGGCCAGGACTCGCCAGGTGCATTGCATGATTGTGAGTCTTGTGACACACTGCAACTGCACGTGTAAGATGAAATCTACGCAAACATCTCGAGAAGGTACTCGATCATATTCATCCGAGTCAATAGCCAATGATACACATGTGCTTCTTTCCGAATTGTTTTCTTTATTCAGAGTTTGAAAAATCATGAATGGAAAAGAGGGCGAGCTAGAGACTGAATTTGATGTTCGAAAATAACTGATAGTAACATGCTACGGTACAGATAAAGTTGGGACGTAGTAATTGATAGTAACATTTCAGGAATCCAAATTGAAATAAGGAAATCACAGCTAGCTAGCAACTGAAAAAACCAAACTCATTCACGTCTTCTCTTTTTGTACCATCAGTGCTCAGACAGACGCCATTTAGACTTGAGAATAAGGCCCAGGCAGATGTTCCTGCAGCCACTGCATGGAAATATGAAGAGAAGCACAACGTCAGTCAAACAAACCCACAAATCGACCATCACAAGTTCACAACTAAAACTAAAAAAAATGCAATGTATCAAGGTTAATCCCGTAGCACATGCACATCATAAATAGCAATTATTCACAACCAGCAGAACAACATATCAATACCATTGAAGGTGATAACAGAACTGAACAAAAACATATTATGGAGCAAACTGGGTAAAGAGAAATAGACTAGCAGTGAATATGAGGTACGTACCTTATTGATAATAGAGAACGCATGCATTTATTGCAGCCAAAGATGAAGCATCTACAGTGAAAAGCCACGTGGAGAACGCGAGCTGTTGATCCAAATGCAAATGAGGAAAACACGTCAAATCTCAGCAGACAGATAGATGTCCAGTTAATACAAACTAAGGTCTGAAACTCGTCAGAAATCTTCATTCATCCATAAATACCCACTGCATTCAGTATTTATTCCGTGGACTCAGCAAGCCATCACACCGAACATAACAAATCCGCCCCTGCATGGCCGTGTGGCAACGAAACTCCACGCAGGTGGTTGCCCATCCGGGGTCCATGAATGAAGCTCAACCACCCTTTCATCAGTATAATTGATTGGAGGCCCAATAACAATCAGCCGGTCACCACACGCTCGGAAACCCATGCCCAGCCATATTTGTCCTTAGACTGTACAGGCAATTTTCCAAGAGTGATCCACTTATTGTCCAGCTTATCATACTGCTTCAAATCATTATTCTCACTGTCATCAGCAGCATAAAGCTCATTGTTGACAACTGCAAGGAGCAGAGGAGCTCCGTCGTCTGTCCGGTTGAGCCCCTGAGACATGTTGTCGATGAGCCTCCATGACCGCCGGTTCAAGTCATACTCCTCACCGCATGTCAATACCTCGTGGCTACTGCTTCTACCACCGATCACATAGAACTTGCCGTCCATGAATGCGCCAGAGCATCTGTACCTAGCCCTATTAATGCTGGAAAGGGGTGTCCGAGTATGTGTCTCCGAGTCATACATCTCTGCGGAGCTCAACACATTACTAGAAGAATCAGCACCTCCCGCGACATACGCCTTCTCCCCGGCACTTGTTGACCCAAACAAGTACCGTGGGGTGTTCATCGCATCAGCCAGCCATGTCCATGAATTGGTAAGGATGCTATATCTCAAGGCAACCCTTTCGCTCCCAAACACCAGCAGCTCGGTTCCTACAGCGAGCGACTCCCAGATGATGCTTTGAGCCGGTGGCATCTTGGGCACTTGGATCCAGCGCCCAGTGGACGGGTCATAAGCCTCCCACTTCGGAGGATTACTACTGGAAGAGAGGTAGAGCCAGTGCTCTGCGACCCCATTCTTGCGACGCAGGCGGTAGATGTCCCCGTTGCGAACCACGGAATTGAAATCACGGTTGAGGGAGGCGATGGCGCCATATTCCAACCTGGAGAGGCGGTGGAGGCAATAGATGAAGAGTTCACGACCTATCACACCAATAGTATCCTAGGTATTTTGTTAACTATTGGTTTGATACTTTTTTAAAGGTAGATCAATCCCTGCCCTCGAGACCGGTTGATGTGCACAAACATATATGATTGATTATTCAGTGATGGCAAAAAAAGTTAAGCATTGATGCTCAACAAATTGGCCTACATAAAGAGGAGGAAAATATAGGAGAAAACGCTGGAAGCATGTTGATGGCTGCCTCCTCGTTGCTTCTAGACACTGCCTCATCACCATCTGGGTGTTTCCTACCGTATTAGTCGATCTGTCCTAGCTGGATGTGGGGGCCAACGACGCCGTTGCACCTCGCCACAAGGAGGCCGATATCACTATCTATAGGGCATGCGTCATTGACGACACACTTGTATATATGAAGCCCTAGCCGATTTTCATGTGCTCCACCTGCCAGATTGACATGAAGCCGTCGGCTGCATGGGTCTGATGACAATCATCCTTGAATGATGTCGTAGATGCGCCAGACATCGAATACCAAAGCCGGCACCATGTTGCCATGAGTCCACACTCACTATCACAAAAAACAACGGTCGAAGTAGCCTGGATGCCGATTGAATTCAGGCTTCATCCAGTTGCTTCGAAAGTCCGAACTGATGGAGAGAGACGGGTAATATGTTTCAACACTCTCCATCATGTCTAGGCTTATTTAGTCCTTCGACGTGGGATCAATGTAGGCTGCAGAAACTTTTTTTTTGCTTTAATACTGTGTTGGCGGGGTCTTAAACTCAAGAGCTCTTGACTCTGATATCATATTGAATTCATGCTTCAGCCAGTTGCTACAAGAGTCCCAACTAACGGAAAGAGATGGGCAATATAATTTAACAATGCCATCGCAAAAACGCTCGCTGATGTCGCCATTTGTTGCTATGGTGCGCTAGTCAGAAACCTATCAAGGGCCTCTGCCCTCTACATCTCTGCCTTGCTTGGAACCGACGGCACTAAATCCCCGCAGCCACCCACGATGGAGGTTATGCCTGGTACCACACTGACAATGGGCGAGAGGAGGAGATGCGGAGAAGGAGCCTCTAGCGCTGACAGCCTGGATGTGTCGCCGGCGCAAGGTCCTACTTTTTTTTATGGGCAAACAACAGCAGTCACCAGTTTTTTAGTGACAGCAGTCACCTGTTTGATGTAATTCATACGCATTAGCATCGAGAATTGTGTTGATGAGAGATCGCCACGGGAGATGGAGGCCTCTGCTGTGACCATTGTTTTGGATTTCATTTATTATTTTTATGACTAGTTTCAGGATTTTCAAAATATTCTGTTGTGAATTTTGGATAAATTGATAAACCATAAATTTAAAATTCAAAAAAGGTACATGAAAGAATATCGCTACATTCTAGATTCGACCCCGCAGCATCACTAAGGCATCGTATGTTCTTTACCACTAGTATGTAGGAGTAGATGGTAATTGAAATACTTTAGATTTCCATGTCTTTTTATACAACTATATATAGTTAGAGTGACCAAAACCAGAATTATTTTCTTTCAAACCCCACTAAAACCATGGCCCAGGGACGGTGGCTATGACAATGCGAATGGCCTAAGCCCACCACTGTAGCAGGGATGATGGTACAACGACAGGTTTGATGGCTGCCACAGATTTCTTCCAGCACTAGAGCCCCAGTACATTATCTTCATCCAATCCACAAATCATACAAGATAAGAAAGTTAATTTGCATCCTGTGATTTCGTTTCCTAGCGCTAGAGTTCCTACACATGAACTATTATTGCTTGCAAGAAATGGACATCATGCACCAAGACAGCAAGCCACCCTGGTTTATTCAACTGATTCGTGTGGCGACCTACTAGTAAGATAGGCGATGTATGAAGCTTCATTTGCACTGTCGTCGTTACAGAAGGAAGTTTCCTTCCTAAGCCGAGCCTAGCTGTCGTGCCATCCCCCGATGCTCGACGTGAGCTAGGTGTGCGCACTTGCTGCGATCACCATGGCATGCCATCCCATGACCAGATCCAAGCTGCGCCTATTCAGCTAACTCAAGCTATAGTAGTAGAGGGATAGGAAGGAGAGAAAGGAAGTGTCACCTTGGGTTGGATAAAAAAGGACAACCCTCTCCTCCTCCTCCTCCTCAACAATGCCGTGATCCAGCATCTTGTTGCGGGACTCGCTGCACTTTGGGCACGGCCCGGAGCCGACCCTCTTACAGGCTTGGCAGACGAAGGCCGGGCTCGGCCTTGGGGCGGCGTCCAGGAGTTGCGGCAGCCCGCCGGCCTGGTGCAGCTGTCTAACATCCTCAGGGCCGCCGACGAGCCGGCCGCCCAGGAGGAGCTGCGGGAGGGAGAAGGCGCAGCCCCGAGCCGCAAGCAACGACTTGAGCTCGCAGCGGTGCGCTTTGCTCCTGGACACGTCGCGCACGTCCACGGCCTGGCCATAGCCGCGCAGCAGGGCGCACAAGGCGTAGAGGTCGGCGGAGGTGCGCGTTCTGTGGCGCGACGCTGAAGCTGACGCCGTGTAGAGAACCACCTCCGGCTGCAGCGCCTGCTTGCCGTGTGGCCGGGACGAGGAGCTGCCGCCAGGATCACCCATGTCCGGCGGCCTCATCCGAAGAAGAGTGTGGCTTTGGTTAGGGCGAGAGGAGCGTGGAAGCAGATTGAGACGGGGACAAGTGTCTCTCTCTCCTCTTGTGGTTCATCTCCTCGTCACATCACATGCATCGCACTGTCCTGTGCCTCTACTGTCGTGCCTCTTGTTAATTCCTCGTAAGCTATGCGTCTTTGTCGATTGCCTAGCTAGGTGCTCACACCGCCTTGTTAATTACCTTGGCCCACACTACATAGTTTCAAACACTGGAATCTGATTGGACAATCTCATTGGATTCTTATCGTCTCTGGATTTGAAAGAGTAGTAGTACTTCGTCTCAAGTAGGAGTATTATCACTACAGGAAAATCACGTTTTGCCGTGTGAAATAGTATGGGAGTCTGCTGAAAAAAACACCCGGCAAATAAAAAGGACTCGGCTTATGGGAGTCTATAAGCCGAGTGGTGCTGAAAAGCACTCAGCTTACATGAGGTACACGGCATCTACACAAAAAAGCACTCGGCTTATAGATAGCTGCCACGTGTCCAAAACGGAGGTGGTTGACGGTGCCGTCACGGAGCAGCCTGTAAGCTGTGTGCCCTGCAACAGCACTCGGCTTATATGGCCTATAAGCCGTGTGCACTGCGACAACACTCAGCTTATATTAAGTACAATTTTATATCTTTAGCGAATAGAATTCGAATTTGAATTACAAGTGCGTGAAAAAGTTGACAAGGTTAGGTTAAAAAATCATACTTGTGTTCTTGAGTATGTTTAGGCCATATGCAAGAAAAATAAATGAACTTCAAACATGAGGGTGCCAAGACTTGACCCCGAACATGTAGTTTTTCTTTTTATAAATTTTGAGAAATGCAAACGAACTCTGAAAAGCATGAAAATTGGCATGGTGCCCTTACATGACACCTAAATACCGTGGTGAAAATTTGAGAACGTATCGTAAAGGGTGTGATGTATATCGCTTGGAAACTAGACCATCTCCGAAGAAGAAATGTGTTTTTGAGATGGAGCGAGCGAGGTGTGAAGATGACACAACTGTTCCTTCAACCGTTGGCCTTGAAACTTTTTCTACACTCAATATACACCATTACTTGATCCATGTAGTTTTTCGGTTTATAAATGCCAAAAAATGCAAACGAACTTCAAAAAACATGAAAATTGGCATGGTGCCCTCATATGACACCTAAATGTTGTGTTATAAATTTGAGAACATTTCGTAAAAGTTGTGATGTACATCGCTTGAAAACTAGACCGTCTCCGAGGAAGAAACGTGTTTTCGAGAGAGAACGAGCAAGATATGAAGGCAAAGCGACCGTTGCTACATCCGCTGGTCTTGGAAATTTTTATACATTGAATATACACCATTACTTGATCCATGTAAAATTTTGGTATCTTTCGGGTTCCGTTTGCTATATTTAAGTCATTAAGTGCATTTCTAGACATGTAACGGATATAATTTAAATTTGAATACAAGTGCGTGAAAAAGTTGGCAAAATTTGATTGAAAATTCATATTTGCGTTCTTGAGTCTATGTTTAGACCATATACAAGAAAATAAAAGGAATTCCAAACACAAGGGCGCCAATATTCGACCCAAACATAAAGTTTGTTGGTTTTTTAATTCCAGAGAATGCAAACGAACTCCGAAATTCTTGAAACTTGGTAGCGTGTCTTTATATGATACCTAGAGGCTGTGATAAAAATGTATGACAAAATAATGCAATTATGGGTCCTAATTAATATGAAAACGTACTAGTAAAGAAACACACATAATGTAGCTCATGTGCTTTTTTCTCATTGGCTGAGCCGTGTGAGCCACGGATCAGTGACATGGCAAGAACTCAGCCGCATATCTCGTGCGCTCCTTCCGAAATCGAACGGCTGTTGGCCTCTTTCCTCCCTCCCCTCTCTCCCTTATTATATCCCCATCCTCTCCTCAATGGCTACCGGTTCTCCCTCCTCTCTGTCCACTCCTTCTCCACTCCACGCCGCCGCCGCCTACGGCGAAGTGCCGCAGCCTCCTCAAAGAGCAGCAGTCAACGGAGCAAGCAGCAGCAGCTCGCGGCAGCAGAAGCTACCCGTCCATGCTCAGCTCGATGCAGTGCTCCTCCTCGCCGGCGGGTGAGTGCTCCAGCACGGCCGCATCGATCCACCAGCAAGCAAAGCTAGCCTCTATCTAGCTAATCGAGCCGCTCGATCTACTCTCACGTGTACTAGACCACTAGTAGTATGTATATAGCTAGCTAAAGCTAATCGATCCACTCGATTGATTCCTATGTGTAACAGCAGTACGTACTATGTATGTGTGGGCGTTTGTAGCCGGGGTGTATACATATACATTTGAATACTTGAATACCTGGGGTGTGTACGCATACATTTGAATACCAGCAAACCGCAATACCTCAGATTTGGCACTCGGCTTATAAGGTATAAGCTGTGTGTAACAGGTGCCAGGCACCCGGCTTATAGGCACTACAAGCGGCGGCCTGCCAAATATAAGCCGAGAAGGAGGCACTCGGCTTATATATAATATATATATTTTTTTTTAGAAAAGGGGTATGACCCCAGCCTCTGCATCAGAAAGATGCATACGGCTTATATTATTAAAGAACAAAACCAGTCACAAAGTCTCCAATATCTGAAAGTTTGAAAAGAAAATAGGTTGCTCAAGCGAGCCTAAACATGGAGCCACAACCGGCTGGCAAATAAAATAGGAGCACTACATGCCTATCCTATTATATAAAACCGAGCGTTGCGGGCGGCACTCGGCTTACACCGATGCTGACACATGGCCGTTAACACATGGCTATCGTTATGTTACTTTATTAAACCGTGTGCCTCGTAAGCCGGTTTTTTTAGCACGGCACCCGGCTTATACCTGGTAAGCCGGTCCCCCGTAAGCCGTGTCCTATAAACCGTGATTTTTACTCGGCTTATATATAAGCCGAGTGCAAATCGGCATAAGCCGAGTGTATTAGGCACACGGCTTACAATTTTTTTCCTGTAGTGTATATTGAAACTTAAAATACGTGTAGGTTCTTGGATTATTACTTTCGAGGAGACTTACGAGTGAACGTCGACAGCGTCCCGGCCTGGCGCACGCACGCTAGGGGCATGGACATGGAGCGTATAGGATAAACTGGCACGAGCACTCTCATGTGTATGCTCCCTCTCACAACATCACGTGACATGCACATGAGGAAAAAATGGGGATTGCTATGGTACTACCTCTCTCTCCCTCTCTCGGGCAAATACCTCGGCGGAAAACTTTCTCAAAATCTTAGAGGTGAAATCCATAATCTGGTGTTCAATTTTTGGAACCTGTGACATTTGTGTTTTGCCCTGTCGTTCTTTTCATTTAGGCATTGCTTTTGAAGAACCCCTCTCTCTCGCAGTTCATGTGTTGTTGCGGTGGTTGGTGTTGTTGATTCTTGTAGCGTTCTTCTTATCGCTTGTTTGGTGTGATATATTTGTTTTATTCTTATTAATAATTAGAAGGTGTGCAATTGTGCACGCTTGATGTCTTGGCTAGATCTTACATTGTATTAGAAACCACAAATTAAGCAGTCTAAAATGCTATTTTTTCAGATGAAATCACTATAAAAAAATCCGACTAGGTCACCACGCCGCAGGTCATCGGGGACGCTTCCAGGCCAGAGAGGCGGTAGATCCATATCAGGTTGATATTAACATGTTGCACTTTAAACTGGGACGACGAGCTGCTACCGGGATCGCCCATATCCGCTGGCTTCATCCAAAGAAGAGTGTGGCTCGCGAGATGAGAGGGGAAGTAGATGGAGACGGGGACACGCGGTGCCCCTCTCTCTCTCTCTCTCTCTCTCTCTCTTGTGGTTCATCTCCTTACAATGTCACACTCATCGCACTGGCGTCTTGCGCCTCTACTGCCATGCCTGCTACCTTGTGTTTATTATCAAACTCCTCGGACGCTATGCTTCTTTGTCGATTGCCAATGGTGCGTTACCTTAACCTCTCCTCTTTTTTTTTGCGGGGAACCTTTGCCCCTCCACTTCCAAACACTGGAATCTGATTGGACAGTCTCATTGGATTCTTATGTGCTTCGGAATAGAAAGAGGAGTAGTACTTTGCTAAGTATTTCATTGAAATTTAAATTACACATACATCAATTATTATTTTTCAAGGAGACTCTGTGTCAGCCGGCCCACGCATGCATGGGTTTCATAGTAGGCAAGTACATCACGCTTCATTACCAGGATGTTGATGCTGTCTAGACAAAGAAAATCTTGGGACGTCTTGGGTGTTTCCTTGCTGCTTCTTTCCACTTATGCTTTGTGTCACCACCCACTTCATGATCAAGAGCTATCTCCTCGAGATGTTTAAAGTACTTGATCGCTGATGTGCCACAAAAGCCATCTAGATTTTTACATAGCAGCTGTCGGATTGACTCGAGGCTCCGTGTTACACGGCAGAGCTCCGTCTTAGACTCACACCATATTTTCACCATTGTCAGATCCTTCATATTAGCCAAACCTCAGTTGCAACCTTGGGAGGGCACAAAAAATATAAAGGATCAGATGCAGCTTAGAATTCACTAACCAATTAGTAAAGCGCTGCAAGCATCCTGAGTCTCCAAGTAAGTTCACAAGATGCCTCTCTGTAGTTCACGGTTACCTACAACAGATATTACTTCTCGACTGCCACATCATGTATTTATAGGTTTTCTAACTCATCTCCTATGTCTCCACCCCATCGATCCCAGCAGTGTATTAGTTTAATCTGGCAGTGTGGCACGCCATCGATGCACCCTGCGTGACAGCCAATGTGAAACAAAAAATGTTACAATAGATGCACTAATCAACTCTGGACCTTTGTGGCCTTTTCTCCGGGTTATCCGCCTCATCGATCCAAGCAGCTGGTGGTGCATTCGTACTTTGCTTCAACTTGGCAGTCTGGCACGCAGTGAGGATAAACTTTGCATTTGAATTGAATCGAAACAGATAATGCTATCGTTCAATAGACTAATGAAC